AGGCTTTACTAATGAAGAGTTCTGATTTTCAGCTTTCTATACTGCAAAGTATGGCTACAAGGTCTGTCTGCGGGTTTATCTGAATGGGGATGGGACAGGAAAAGGAACCCACGTGTCCCTGTTCTTTGTTGTCATGAAAGGAGACTACGATGCTTTGCTCCCGTGGCCTTTCAGACACAAGGTAAGAAGGGCAACCTTTTCATACCTGACCCCATCACAAACCCACTACTTCTCCCAGTGAACACAAGGGCACTTTCTGGAGTTCAGTGGAATTTAGAGTGCTTTCCCATTTTCCTCTCCAGTGGCTACTAGCCACACTCTAATCTTAGGTAATAATTTGTCTCTGAATGGAGTGACTTACACACGGGGAAGGCAGCTCCTACTGAGGTTCCATACTTTGCCTTGTAGGATTTTCAGGCACCAGTGTACTGGTGTTTGATATATCCCAACCTGTGTCCACCTGGGTTAAAGCCAGAGACACATTTTTTCCTGGCTTCTGCTATACATAAATAATACCAGTTTATGAGGGAATCGTGATGTGCTGCCTGAAGCACAGGTGTCAGAAATGTGGAGTTAGAGTTCTACTTACAAACGTGCCATAGTTGTCTTACGTGATCCTGATCTTATTTTTCTCATAAGTGCAATCTGATAATGGCAACAATGATTAGAAAAGCAGTGAAGAAACAGAAAGAACTCTGTTCTAGCACTTGCCTTCGTGTGGTAATAATTCTGTAAGCCTTTCATATAAAGAGCCTTACTACCATTTAGTGGCCAAAACCAACAGAGATCAAAGTTCCCAATCCTCACTCTATTAAAAAACTATTGCATACATTTCACCATTATTACACACATTTCATTTAAAGCTAAAGAACAGTGAGTTAATAAGAGTGGTAATGAGATGGGGAGATTCTGTACTGATATGTAGGTTGTGTCTTTTACATGTTTGCGTACAGGCAACTGAGCTGTTTCTTTTGATTCCAAACCACAATAACAGCATGAATGTAATGACTGTAACCAAACACGGGGTTTGTTTAACTTGTCAGGAGAGAGAGGAAAGAAGTCTTTGGACTGTGCAGTTCTCTACCAAGAAATAATTCCTTACTTTATTTTATTTAATTTTATTTTACGGGTGGCAAAGTCTTAAATATTTCATCTGGGAACCATTACAATCTCCCTCGTTCACACTAACTGACCTTGCAGGTTGCGAAACATTCATTACAATTTATATTTAATTATTGATAGAGCATCCAGCTGCTTTTGCAGCATGTTTGCACTTCTCTCTCTGATATTTCCTGGTTTGTTTTTCAGTTCAATAACTCATCATTGCCGCGCTCTGTTTTTCAGGTTACATTTATGTTGCTTGACCAAAACAACAGGGAACATGTTATTGATGCGTTTCGCCCAGACTTGACTTCTGCTTCGTTTCAGAGACCAGTCGGTGATATGAATGTTGCAAGTGGCTGTCCCATGTTCCTCCCGCTGTGCAAATTACAGTCACCCAAATATGCCTATGTGAAGGAAGACACGCTTTTCCTTAAATGCATTATAGAAACAAATCAGTAAATTTTGAAGAACGGGTGTCTGGAAAATCACACGCTGAATTTCATTAGTTTACAAGAAAAAAAAAAAAAATCATCGGCTTGAGACCTTGTATTGGTTTCTGCGTGCAGACAAGATCCTGAGCCTGCGCTCCGCTGGATCCGTTCGCATCAGCTGAGGATCTGCCTGCTGGAGTCGGCTCCCGCCGAGCACGCTGCCCAGCGCCCCGCCGAGCCCGCTCTTGCGGATGAGAACTGAGATTATTTCATCAAAACAGCCGATAACTCCCGGTTTAGATGTAGATTACAGTCACCGCCCCCCCCCCCCCCCCCCCCCGCCCCGCAGATGCACTTGTGGAAAAAGGCGCTTGTTCTTTCTCACGCCGGGCCCAGGTGTGGGTGCCATCCCTGCTGGGTGGCCGGCAGGCTCGCTCCCGGGGGCTGGGGGGGCGTTTGGGGTGCGAGGGGGGCAGCTGAGCTGTCCCCAGCCCTTTGCCGGGCTGTGCCAGCCGCTCCCCCGGGGCCAAGGGCAGATTCCTTCCCCTGAGGCACCGATCAGGCGTCTCTCTCCCTCTGTGCTCACTGGTGACCTTGAAAGCAGCCAGTTGTGGCTACCATTTGTGGCTTGCATTCCTTACACTGGCTGATTTGTTCCTTGCTATTTATTTTAGACCTGTATTTATGTGCTCTGTAAAGAGATGTTCTGTTATTGCATTAGCAGTCGGTGACTAGATTACACTGTGCCTCGGGGAAGTTGCCTCTTGGATTTCCAAAGGAGTCCTTTGACTTTCCCATTCCAGGTGTGGAGCTCTGTGGGTTGTTAAGCCCCGGGAAGCCCCGAGCTGCCAGGCCAGGCAGTGGTAAGGAGCCCTCAGTAGCTTTGTTTTAAAGTGTTCAGTCACTTCCTGAACCTTCAAGGCAAGTGACTTATTAGAAAGCATTGATTTTTTTTTTTTTTTTAATTGCTTAATTCTTTTTATGTGCTGGGATGTTTAAGTCTTTTTTTTTCACATGATAAAATAGAAGTAACTACTAAAAAAGTTTTTGTCTTTTTTTAAAAAAAGAGGCAAGGAATTTTTTATATATATATTTTTTTTATATAAGCAAGCCAAGCTTGGAAATGTCTGGATGTGTGCAAAATTCAAATGCTACACCTGATTCCCAGAAAGCAGCAAGCCTCACCCTCTCCCTTCCCTGCTCGACAACTGGCTGACAGAACCAGCGCAGCTGAGCTGCGGTTTGGTGCAGCAGTTTCTGAACTTGCAGCACGGCTTGTCCAGGGCCGCGCCGGGTACGAGCCCAAGGCCTCACCTTGCAGACAGGGGCAGGTGTGTGTGTGTGTGTAAGTGAAAGGCTTTTGTGCAATCACTTTATTCATTTTTCCTCTGCAATGTTTCCCACGTCTCAATTGAAAACACAAAGCCGACAGGCAAGGTTGTACCCGCTGCGTGAGAAGGGAAAGGAGAAACTTTGTCCACTTACATTTTGCAAACCATGGAAACTGCAGCCGGCGGGCAGAGCTGGTGAAATGTCATACGCTGTGACTGACCTCCAGCCTGACTGCTGGCGGAGGAAGAGGTTCTCCAAATCTCTCATTTCTATCTTGACAGCATCCTTTAAAATAATTACCTGTGACTGAAGTATCAACTTCCAGAAAAACCTACCCCATAAACAAAGCTCGTTTGGGAAGGAACTGGATATTCTTTGCTATCACACACACACACAATCTCTCTCTCTGTTTTTTTCTCTCTTCCATGTTTAAAATATTCTTTCAGGGACAGAAAATTATTTTTCCAGTGATGTGCCAGCCCCTGTAACCACACTGGAGTAATATGCCTAAAAATATTATGCTTTTCACGGCTGTAATTTGGACAAGTGCTGTATTTATTACAATCATTCATATTTTCTTACTATTTTATTTATTTCCTAAATAAAGCTCACTAACTTACAAAAGGTTTAGTGTGTTATTTTCACAGTAAAATCAGGACTTGAGCGACTCGGAGGTACGATGATAGCGGTTTGGTTTAGGAACAGCTGAGCTGCAACTCTCCCCCACCGCTACCGGAGCAGCACCCAGCGGGTTCCCCAGCGCGGGGCCCGGCTGCGCCCGTGTCCCCAAGAGCTGACAGTGCCAACAGCCAAGCGAGGCGCGGGGGGTGAGGTGCCTGTGCCCCAGGAAAAGGGGTGGAAATTCGGGGAATGGACCCTAAAGCTTCTCTGCTCTCCTGTCGATGCCGTAACGAGCGGGTCACCTTTTCCTTGCCTCTGGAATTCGGGCTTTGTAGGGAAGATGGAGCAGCCCCAATATAGAGAGGTTTCACCTAGAGAATGAAATAAAGGGGTGTACAAAGGCCGAGCCCCCGGGGCTCAGCGCGCAGGGGGTGTGAGTGTGGGGGAAGGTGCCACCACCCAGCACAGCCACCTCCTTCCCGGAGCCTCTCGCGGAGGCGGCGGCTGAGCTGATGGGGGTTATTGCAGGTGAAGAGGGGGGTCGGCTCTGCCCAGCTGCCCGGGGGGGGTCGGGGCTGCTCCGCACCTCGGTGAGCTTGCCCTGGCCCTCGCTGGCCGGGGAAGCTGCTTTTATCACAGTGGGCATTGACTTCCCAGGACCGCTTGGCCTCCTCTTTGCTCCACTGTCACTTTTTTTTTTGTGGAAAATCCTTTTCCGTGTAGAACTGTTATTTCTTAAAAATAATTAGAAGGGTTTTCCTTGTGTGTGAGAGACAGAGAGAGAAGGTGGGGGAAAATGACTAAAACCATGTGGGTGAGCTGGGGAAAGAAAGTATGTGGGAGAGAAGATGTGAGAATGTCTGTGCGAGAGAGAATATTTATGTGTATCTGTCTGCATCAAGGGGAGCAAAAACATATGTGTGTGCATGTGCAGGTTGAGATACACCCAGCGGAGAGTGAACGACCTGGCACCTCCGTGCTTTTCTCTAGTGTGACTCTACCAGAACAATAACACCGATTTTCTTCCAATCCCGTGCGCAGGCAGGATCTCACTGATGGCAGGAGCCCGGGGTGTCGCTGCAGGATGGGGAGGTCGAATCACAGGGAAGCAGCACGAGCTGCAGGGAAGCAGAAACATCCACAGTGGCTGAATAAATACCCTGGAGAAAGGACACGATGGGGCAGAGCTCTGTCCGTCCCAGTGTGACCGGTACCACTCTGTGCCTGACCTGCCTGGGACACGACGGGGCAGGACGGGGTGGGCTGGAGACCTCGCTCAGCACCTCCCTTCTGCAGGGGGGAGCAGCCCTCGCCGGGGCGTCCTCCTTGGAGAGCAGGGCTGGCAGTGGAAGCAGGGACCTTCTTGGTAAAAATCAATTTTAAAAGTTTATTGGTAGCCCTTTAGTTCTTTTTTTTTTTTTTTTTTTTTTTTTTTTCCCCTAGCCAGAGATTCCCAAGGGGGAAATAAAATGGAAGGAAAGCTGCAAGGTGACAGAGTTTGCAGGACCCTGTGCTCCTCGCCCCGCAGCGCTGGGGCAGAGGGGAGATTTTGGTGTGAAATCACTGGGGGAGCATTGCCTGGAGCCAGCTTTTGGGGTGACTCAGGCCTGGATGGCGAATGTCTGCAAAGGGAGGAAATTAGTGGCCAGCTGTCCCCTGGTGGGGGGGGGGGGCAGGCAGCTCCTTGGTGTAAAACTGTCCCCGGGATGGGATGTGGATGAAGCGTTGCTCATTGACGGCGGGGAAGAGCCAGCCTCGTGGGAAGCAGAGGCAAGCTGAACCGCCGTGAAACTTGGGCAAGTGGCTCGTTTACGGTGGGCTCCGTGTAAACGATGGCCCGAAACGCAGCGGGGTACCCTGGAGCCACAGGCTCAAGCCACAGGACGGAGCCCGTGAAGGAGCATCGTGGGCTGGATGAGCAGGACTGGCACCAGGGCTCACCTTGGCTCCTCAAGAGCCAAAACAAAGAGTTGGAGCCTGTTGTTCCTGCACTATGGGCTGGGGTGCGGGTTGGGAACACTCTGCTAGAGGAAAGGGGGAGGAAAATCCCCCAAGGTAAGCGAGGGGCTACCAGAGCCACCCCGGGGGCCGTGCCCTGGGCACAGCGGGGGCCAGTGGCACGAGGGGTCCCCATCTGCACAGCCCTGCACCGCACAGACACGGCCCAAACTCTTCTTGAACACTGATAATTCCAGTTGCGCTAACAGGCATTGGCTTTCTGCAGTTTTATAGCTGGGCAAGCAGTGCAGACATCCCTCAGTAAATACAGATCTTTGCTCTCCATTTTTCACTTTTCCCCAGGAACAAAACGGGCTTTTCTTCCTTTATTTCTTTCTTTTTTTGGGGGGGGATGTCTTTTCTGAGCCGTGCTCAGGAACTGCAGACGTGTACATAATATATCTCTGTCAAAATTATGTAAGGGCTCCATTAATATAAAACTTGCACAGCTGTAAGAGCACTTACAAGCTCTTCATGTCTTATGCAATTGCATAGAAACATGCGGAGAAAGTTGAAAAAAAAAAAAAGTATATGGATTAAATTCATGCTAAATAAACAATAAAAAGACATGAAACCCAATGCCTAAATACTCTTCCTTCTAAAGGCACAGCTGGCATAAAACACCTGAATGTCAGATTTAACTGCTCTGATCCTAATTGCAACCATACCTTTGTTCCAATATGCCCTTTGGTATATCACTTTGCTCTGCAAGGGCTCGAACAAGAGCTAACTCCCCCCATGCCGCGACGCATGAGGCACGGCCGGAGCATTACCGTGTCCATGTGGAATGCATTGAGCCACGGTGCTTTCCAAACACGGGGCTCTGGTGTTCCTGGAACGGGCTCCTGATTTTCATCTCCAAGACCTTTAGCCGCAAACCCATCCTGATAAGGAAACGGATGACACTTACTGGGAGAGAAACTGAAGCCGGAGCGATAGCAAGAGTTCTCTAATCCAGCAAATCACTTCTGCTGTGGAAATGAGCAGGCAAAGTGATTTTTTTTTTTTTCGGTCTGGACTAAATCAAATGATGCAGAAAAATCAAAGAGTTTTAGTGAGCTAAATCACAACTGGTTGCTCCGTGTTTAATAGCTAAGTTGGCAAAGAGACATAGTGCCTCTGTAGCTCCAAAGGTCTAAAATAACCAAGGACAAGGTTTGTAGGGAAAGACAGGGAGTTTTTTTGAATCAACTAATAAAGCTGGAAAAAACCAGGCAAACTTTCAGGCTTACAAGCCCTTCTCCAGGACAGGAAAAGAACTCATAACCTTGTACGCAGTTGCTCTGAGCTTAGCTTGGTTGTGTTGGTCGACCAGGGGGTTTCAGTGAAAAGGTGGTTGAGACCCAGGGAGCAGAGGGAAGCGCTGGCCAAGAGAGAGAGATTTGTCAATAGCCTCAAGCTGCCGTGGTTGCAGCTACTTTTTCTGGCACGGATGTGTCCTATTTTACCAGCTGAACCCCCCGGATGGAAACGGCACTCGCCGGTTGTTTTGAACAGCGTACGGGAGCTGCGCCGGGTCTCGCAGTCTCTGCGCCGCAGCCTCGTGTCGCTCGGCTGCCTCCGGAGCAGCCGCAGCCGGCGCGAGTCGTTTCTGCAGAGCCCGGCTCCGCATCAGGCCTGGAGTTCACGGGCAGCTTCGTGTTTGGGTTTCCATTCAATACTCCTCGGCTTCGGTTTCCAAGACTACAAGCCAACATACAACGCCTCCTCCCGCTCCTGTTTTCAAAGAAAGAAAAAACACTGTGAAAAGAAGCTACCCGATTTCTTGGCAGTTTTCAAAGCAGAAAGAAAGGCAGCGCCGGGAGCTGCTCGCCCCGTGCATGCCGCAGGCTCTGCTCCAGCCAGGGCTCCCGCCGGCTCCCGGCCCGGCTGAGCCACGATTCTCCGGGTGCTCCGTCCCGGTGCGAGCTGGAAAGCACCTTCCCCCCCTTCACAGGGCACGGAGGAGCAACAAAAAGTGCTTGAGGACAAAAAATGGGGGGGGCGTCGGAGTAGTTAACTACCTGGGGCTTCATTCAAATCATTTTGCAAATGCTGGTTTTGTTTGGAAATTCAACAGCAGGGAAAGAGCCGGGGTCTGAGGTGGGCGGAGGATCGCTGGCGCTCGGCTTTGCGCTGGCACTTGGGGTCTCATCTGTTTCTATTCGTTTGCTCATGGAATAGTTTGCTTCTAACAGCTAGATTTAAACGGCGGCTTCCTTGCTGGCCTGGCACAGGGAGCAGGTCAGCATCTTCTGCCGGCTCGGCACGCCGGGGCCCCGAGGTCTCTTCGGGTGGGGATGTGAGAGCGGCACGGAAATATTCATGTCATCCCGGGCCCGGGTGGGTGCTCCTTCCCTGGAGGAGCGTGTCAGGCATCGTCCCACCGAGGTCCCTGGAGCCCCACTGGTGCCAAACCAGTCACTGAGCTGTGTCTGCCCAGTGTGCCCGCTCCAGGGGCTGCCAGCAGCCCCGCACCAGCCTCTGCCAGGAGCCATCAGCCTTCGCAGGGTGCAAAAGAAACGGGATCTCCAGTGGCTCTGGGGGTGCAGAAGAGGCTGAGGAGTAAAAAAGAGATGGAAGAGAAGGAAGAGGTAGAGGAGGAGGAGGGCAGCACCGGTAGCTCAGCGCAGCAGGAGCTGAGGCTGGATGGGGATGGCGTGCCAGGAGCACCCGCAAGGAAACCACAGTTAAATGCAATTGTGTGGCTTCATTCATGTTAGGAAATAGAGGATGCATCTCAAATTCCATTTTTTTTTTTTTTTCCTTTTTGTTTGGGACTTTTGTACCAGGGCAATATTCCTGTGCTCTTTCCACTGGCAGCTGCCAGGTTTGGGGTGCCCTCTCCGTGGCAGAGGGTTTTCAGAAAGGTTACCCCCGCTTACACCGCCGGCGAACTTGAGCCCGTGTTTGATCGATGTGTCACATCATCCGCATTCCCGTGGCAAGCGACCAAGATGCTGCAACCATAAACCACGGTGGCTGGGGAGGAGGGTGTAGGGACATTCCCGTTTGCTGCTGCACCAGCACCGGGGTGGAGGGGGGGGGACGGGGTGGGCTGGGACGGGAGCGCAGCCCCTCACAGGCAGCAGACGGTTTGCTTGCGGTCCAACCCCGCAGCACCAACCGCAGCGCCGCGAGCCGCGGTGCTTGTCCAGGGGGAGAGTTATGGTGCAAGAGTTATTTTAATCCTGCGGTGACTCACGGCTAACACAGCATGACTCACCGCAGAGTTTGGTCGCTCGACTGTTTTGAAGATGCGTCAGGTTCCCCGTGAAGGCGAAGGAGGGTGTTTCACGCCGGGGGAATGAGCTGCCATTTTTTTTGTTTTTTTTTTTTTTTCAGCTGCCCAAACCGCTGCGAACACGGGCCCAGCAGTTGGGCGTGGGCACGGCATGGCATGGGGCGGCGTGGCGTGGTGTGGCACGGCATGGTGTGGAGTGGCACAGCGTGGCACCCTGTGGCGCAGCATGGCCCGGTGGGGCACAGGGTGGCGTGGCATGGCATGGTGTGGCACAGCACAGCATGATGTGGCGTGGCACAGCACGTCACAACGTGGCACAGCGTGACACAGCGTGGCACAGGGTGGCACAGCACGGCTCAGGGTGGCACAGGGTGGCATAGCATGACATGGCATGGCACAGCACAGCATGGCATGGCGTGGCACAGCATGTCACAACATGTCACAGCATGGCAGAGCGTGGCATGGCGTGGCACAGGATGTCACAATGTGGCACAGCATGGCACAGCATAGCACAGGGTGGCACAGCATGGCATGGTATGGCACAGAATGGCACAGCGTGGCGCAGCATGTCACATCATGGCACAGCATGTCACAGTGTGGCACAGCATGTCGCCACATGGCACAGCATGTCACATTGTGATACGGCGTGGCACAGCATGGCACAGGGTGGCATAGCACGACATGGCACAGCATAGCACAGCACGGCATGGTGTGGCACAGGATGTTCACAACGTGGCACAGCATGGCACAGCGCGGCACGGCGTGGCGCGGGGTGGGATGGCATGGCACGGCGTGGCACCAGATGGCACATTGTGGCACGGTGTGGCACAGTATGGCACAGGGTGGCACCACATGACATGGCGTGGCACAGCACGGCATGGCACAGGGTGGCACAGGGTGGCACAGCACCCACCCACCACCGCCTTCACGTCGCTCTGGGCTTTGCCTGGCACACAGAACGCTGCGAAGCGAGGAGCACGGCCCCGGTACCCCTCGGCCGGGGAAGCGCGCTTCCCGGCAGGGTCACCCACCCAGCGCCGCTCGCCTGCTGCCACGGGCCAGCTGCACTGCAGGGAACACTCCGACACCAAGGTTTGGTGGGAAAGTTTAATTGAAAAAAAAAAAAAAAAAAAAATTATTTCTAAGATGACCAAATTACACAAAGGGGTCTAAAAGGCGTTTCAGCACCGTGCCTTTCACTCCTTGCAGTGCAAGCTTTTTTGCGGGTGTGCTGCGAACCCCAGCACAGGGGCTGCCACCCCGGGGGGCTGCCCAGAGCTCGATTACAGGCAGTAAAATTTGGATCGACTCTGCTTGGGCTTGGCCCCAACCCTACACCAGGAATCAGCTTCTCCACTGCCCGAGCAGGCCTGAAAACATTTATTTTTTGGCAGCGCTTTCCAACAAACAGCAAATCCTTAAGATTTCTTCTTGGCACCGACTCGAAGCATTTTTGCAGTGATTGGTTTTCTGTGTTGAGATTCAGAGAAAGGCTACCCCCGTTTCTAGGAATCCCGGCGAGCACAGGTTGTTCCCTCGCGCGGGACGATGCCGCCCCGGCCGGGCACCCCTGCCTGCACCCCAATCCTGGGGGGGGGGGCCGGGGGATGCCCCTGCCTGGCTGCAGCCGCCAGCCAGGGGGGGAAGGACAGGCAGGGAGAGGGGATGTCCCTTGCGTGTGGCACGGGGTGATGGTGCCCCTTCCACGGGGCGGTGGGTGCGTGGTGCCCCCCCCCTTCTCTCCGGTGGGTGCAGCGGGAGGGTGGGGTGATGCTGTATGTGGGGTACCCCGGAGGGGCTGTGACGGGAGGGAGGGGACCCCAAGGGGGGGGTGGGGGGTGGGGGGGGTGGGTAGCAGGTATCCCCTCCACATCTCACAGCGCGGGGTGGTGATGGGGGGGGTGGGGGGGGTGGATGCTGCGCGCTCCCGCCGGGGCCGCGCCGTGCCCGGGCGGTGCGATCGCGGCCGCGGGAGGCAGCGGAGGCGGCCCCGCGCTAATTGCATAAGCGGGACGTCAATGCCCGCGGGAGGGGGGGGGGGGCGGGGGGGGGGGGGGGAAGCGCGGGAAGATGGCGCCCCGCGCCCTGCCCCCGCCCCACGCCGCCGCTCCCCGCCGCGGGCCCCGGGCGGGCGGGCGCTGAGCCGGCCCGGCGGCGGCACCGGGACCCCGCGGGGCGCAGCGGTAAGGGCGGCGGGGGGGGGGAGCGGTGAGGGGCTACCGGGGTGGGGAAGGGGGGGGGGGCTCATCCCGGCGGGAAGCGCCCGGGGCGGCGGGGCCGGGGCCGGGCGGGCGCTGAAGCGGCTTTGAATGAGCCAATGGCGGCGGGGCCCGCGGCCGCCGCTCCCGGGGCTGCCCCCGCCCGGCAGGTGCCGCGGACCGGGGAGGGGGGGGCCCGGCCCGGTGGTGCCCCCCCATCCCCTTCCCCCCCCCTGCCGCCGCCGCCGCTGCTGCTTTGCCGGTGGGTCTCGCTGCCCGGGCACGGGAGCGGCGTGGGAGCGCCCACCCGTGACCGCGGCGCCGGGGGGGGGGTGGGGAGCGGCGGGAGCCCCCTCCGGGCTGGGGAAAGGGGGGGGGGGGCACGGAGCTGCCTCCGCTTTCACAATCGCTCCCGACGTGAAAATCCGCGCTGGCTGCGGGGTGACATGTCGCAGCTCGCTGCGGTGGCTCCTGCCAGCCCCCGGCCCGGGCGAGATCGCATTTTTTTTTTATTATTCTTTTTTTCCTCCCCGCCCCCCCCCCTTTTTTTTTTTCCTTGGTTTGTTTTTTTGTTGTTTTTTTTTTATTTTATTTTTCCCTCTCTTTTTTTTTTTTTTTTTTTTTTCCCGTCGCACCCAATTTTTACCGTAAGTTTAATTGCTCCAGCCCATCGAGGCTCTCCTCGGGCGACGGGAGCGTGTCGCCGCCAGCGGGGTCCGGGCAGAGGGACGTTTGCGTCGCTGACGGCGCGGTGAGGTTTCGTGTCGTGATCCGCGGCGTGAGGTCACGCGTGTTGCCGCGACGGGAGCGTAAAGAGGGGGGAAAGAAAGTAACTTTTCGGTTGGTTTGGTGACGTCTGCGAGGGGTGGCAGCTCGGGCTTGCAGGGACGGCGCTGCGCGGGCTGTTCGCCCTCCTCGGGGAAACTCGGCCGCTTGGTTTCCCCTCGCGGCGTGTGGTGCCGCCGCTCGTGCAGCGGTCCCGTCGCTTTGGGAGCCTGCGAAACTGCCAGGCAGCTGTGCCTTACAAACCACGTTAAATTTAAAGCCATCATCCTGCACATGCCCCTTCCCGAGGCTGAGCCCGTGCAGGCCTGTGGCGTGTTTCTGTGCCCCGCTCCGTGCTGCGGGAGCCGAGGCGGTCGCGGGGGGGGGGGGAGGTTAACCCGCTCTTGCTCAACAGTAGCAGAGATTTTTGGCTGCTCCGTAAACGCACCCGCCTCATCAGCGCTTGTTTTGTGGGGTCCTGAGCACCCGCCGGTGGGGCTGAACCAGCCCCAGGCTCGGTGCTCTCCGGGCAAAACCCTCCGGGAAGCCGTACCTGGGCGTGAGGGCAGGGTGAACAAGCTCGTGCATCCCCTCCAGGCTCTGCTGATGGAGACCGCCAAGCTCAACCCCATCATCCGGGATGTCTACGCGGCCGCTGGCCGTGTCCAGCAAGCGCCGGCCGCCGCGGCGCCGCGGAGAGGCAACGGCTGCCGAGAGCTCATGGTCAAGCTGACGGAGGGGCAGTACGTGCTGTGCCGCTGGACCGACGGGCTCTATTACCTCGGAAAGATCAAAAGGGTAAGGTGGGCACCCAGAGCGTAGCTAGCGCCATTCCCTGGGTTGGCTCAGGGTGCTGAGCCGGGCTGCGACGTGTCTTTGGTCATCGTGGCACCGTTTTGGGGTGACATCCCGGGTATCACACCCCAAACTCGACTTCCCCCGAGAGGCAGGGCCGGTCACCGGGGAAGCGCTGGGAATGGGAGCTCGTGCCCAGCGGGTTTTCCCGCTCTCTCCCCGCAGGTGAGCGGCTCCAAGCAGAGCTGCCTCGTCACGTTTGAGGACAACTCCAAGTACTGGGTGCTCTGGAAGGATATCCAGCATGGTGAGTGCTGCTCCCACCTCCCTTCCCACCGCCGGGCTGGGCTGGGGGGGCGTTCCTTCCCGGCGCCGCAGAGACGCGGCTGCGCTTCGTGCGTCTCCAACTCTGCCATCCCCGTCCCGCAGCCGGCGTCCCCGGGGAGGAGCCCAAATGCAACGTCTGCCTGGGAAAGACCTCGGGCCCCATGAACGAAATCCTCATCTGCGGGAAGTGCGGGTTGGGTGAGTGCAGGCGTATCGCCCCGGGGGACGAGGGTCCGGCCGGCCCCGCGGCGCTGACGCCGAGCCCTCCCGCAGGTTATCACCAGCAGTGCCACGTCCCGGTGGCGAGCGGGGGCGAGGGCCCGCTGGGGACGCCGTGGTTTTGCCGCCGCTGCATATTTGCCCTGGCCGTGCGGGTGAGTGGGGCTGCCCGGGGTCACCGGCTCCGTGCGGGGCAGGATGCGGCCCCCTCCCTGTCCCAGGTGGGCTGTGCTGACCCCCGTCCCGCTCGCTCCTGCAGAAAGGGGGTGCCCTGAAGAAGGGAGCCATCGCCAAGACGCTGCAAGCCGTCAAGATGGTGCTGTCCTACAACCCCGACCTGCTCGAGTGGGACTCCCCACACCGCACCAACCAGCAGCAATGCTACTGCTACTGCGGGGGCCCTGGCGAGTAAGCCCCTGCCCGGCGGGAGGGCGGTCGCGTTTGGTTTTGTGGGGAAAGGCATTTGCAGAGGCAGTTGGGATTGGGCTGGGGAGTTTGCCTCCCCCCCCAAAGAGGGAATTCCCCAGCTTGCAGCGCACTGGGGTGGGACAGCTCGCTCCCGGCGGCACCATTTTACTGTAGAAAATACCAGTTAGGGCCAGACTTTCTCTCCCTGGCTGGGGGTTTCTGTGCCTGGGAGGGGGGCCGGGGTGGTGCCCTCGCCATCACCCCCCCCTCCTCTCCCTCCCCAGGTGGTACCTGAAGATGCTGCAGTGCTACCGCTGCCGGCAGTGGTTCCACGAAGCCTGCACCCAGTGCCTCAGCGACCCCATGATGTTCGGAGACCGGTACGTCCCTTCTGGACTTTGCTGGGCTGGTGCTGGACATCGGAGCTGCCTTCCTAGGGAGGGGGGGGAGGATCATGCAGGGACACATCCCCAGCCTGTATCTCCCCGACCTGGCTGTGGCACCGATGTGAATCAGCCACCCAAGGGGCAGGCCCCCACCCTCAGCGCTCTCCCTCCCCGCTCTTTTCCAGGTTCTATGTGTTTTTCTGCTCCGTGTGTAACCAGGGACCTGAATACATCAAGCGCCTGCCCTTGAGATGGTAAGAAATGGCCCCGGCTCCTTTGGGACGTGCTGGGGTGGCCACCGAGCCCTCGCCCTGGGGTCAGCTCATCTCCTGCTCATCCCAACCCTGGCCCTGAGCTGGAGCCTTTGCTCGGCCCCACGGGGCTGTTTCCCAGGGAAGCTCTTTCTCAATCCACCCCAAACCGACTGTTTGTCGGGGAGCCAAGGTACACAATTGGCAGAAGATAACGGCAAAAAGCAACCGGGTGACAAGTCATCAAACTCTGTGATTAAATACCAGTTTGCGAGTGGTACCTATCAGTGTACCTCGATGGCCTGGAAGCACTTTCTAAAGTATTTTAACAGTGCCAGCAGCCCAGCTTTTCCCTGCTGTTCCCCTTGTACTCGGCCGTGTCAGACGTGTTGCTGCTGCTGACGGGCTCCAGGGACACGGCTGCCTCGGACGTTGCACCGAGCAGCGCAGCAGGCTGGAAGAAGAAGAAGGGAAATCCTGCAGGATATGTTGCTTGGCTTTTATTTTCAGAGACGCAAGTGTAAAATCCCACTGGATGGATTGGGTTGTTAAAATAGTCTGTTTTCATGTGAATAAGAGCTGTCCCGCTCCTTTACCTAACTGCAGCAAGAGCACGTGGTTGGGGTTCATTAAAAAGCTGGAAAACTGAGCATTCATCCTGGGAGCAGGATGTCCTCCTGCTCCTGGGCTTGGAGGTCTTGGCATTTGGGGTTCCCCCCAGCTGTGGGCAGCGTCCCACCCCTCCCCAAAGCTCAAGGGATGCTGCAGCATCCCCCCGGGCTGGGCTGCTTCCCGTGAGGTGTGGGAATGGTCCCGGCTTCCAGCGGGTGGGATCTGGGAGGACTGTGCTGGGGGCTGTGCTCGAGCAGCACTGGCAGAGCAGAGCGTCGTGGTGGGCACCGTCCCGGCAGGGAGAAGAGGGTGGGCTGCTGACCCTCCCCGCTTGGCTCCCGCAGGGTGGATGTCGTCCATCTCGCCCTCTACAACCTGGGCGTACAGAGCAAGAAGAAATACTTTGACTTTGAGGAGATCTTGGCCTTTGTGAACCACCACTGGGATCCGCTGCAGCTTGGGAAGGTAAAAGCACGCAGCCCGGGCTCGGGCTGGAGAGCGGCTGCGGGGAGGGAGAGGTGCTGCTGGGGATATAAGTCACAGCTGGCTGTCCCCAAAGCCTCAGCTCGGAGGGATTGGACCCTCCTTCCTACGGTGGCTGAGCCCTTGAGGCCGGGGCAGGTTGGCCAGCGAAGGGTTTATGCTCGTAAAATGGTGGGACAGCGAGCTCTGCCCCTCCTTTGGGTTGTTTTCCTCTCTCAGCGGCTGCCGACCCCGAGGTGTGTTTGCGTGGTGCTTGTTTGGAAGGGGCTGGAGCTTTGGGAGTGCCCGCTCCCCACGACCCAAGCCAGCTCATGCTGGGCCAGTTCCCCACAGGGAAGGAGCTTTAAAACATGTGCTGAGTTTCTCTGGGTGGGCAGGAGCACCCAGCCCCCGGGGTGTTTGCACCCGCTGGCAACACCCAGCAGCTCCCACATACTGTTGACCCACGCCAGGGTTGGTGTCGGAGTGGGTTGTCCCCAGTGGGCAGCACTGGTGGCAGAGGATGCTGCTCCCGGCGCCGGGAAGCGGTGCCGAGCCCTGGGCAGAGCCGGGGGGACCTTTCCTGGGGGTGGGGGGCAGCTGGAACAGGCGGGGGGTGGTGAATGATGGAAAGGAAGGTGCCTGCGTGTTGGCAGTGCCACCACTCCAACGAGCTTGGGCATCTCTGCAAATCCCCGGTTCGCGCAGCGCTTGGCACGGGCAGCCCCTGCTCAAAATCAGCTTCATCACCCTCCTCCACGCTGGGATTTCCCTGTCGTACCTGACAAGTTTCCCGGTCGGAGCTAGGGCTGGGAGAGGTGCTAAAACCAAGGCATGTTGGAAACACGTCACCGCGTTGGGAGGGATCGGTCCCCGCAGACACCTCCCTCCCCCTGCGCCGAGGGCGGCCGGTGCCAAACCTGGCTCTGGGTCGCTCCCCGACCTCGGGCAGGAGCCGAAACCCGGAGTTCGGGTTCCCCCGTCTGTTTAGTTTTTGCATAACCGCCTCGGGCGCCGAGCCCTGCCTGACCTCGTCTCTCCGCAGCTGACGGGCACCCCCATCTCTGAGCGCGGCCCCCACCTCCTCAATGCACTCAACAGCTATAAAAGCAGGTGAGCCCCCGGGGCGAGGGCTGGGGACAGGACGGGGTGCAGGATGCTCCTGTGCACCCCCCCACCTCCAGCCCCGGCTGAGGGCTTTTTCCTCCCCTCTGCCGCTCAGGTTTCTGTGTGGGAAGGAAATCAAGAAGAAGAAATGCATCTTTCGCCTGCGGATCCGCGTCCCGCCAAACCCCCCCAGCAAAGTGCTGCCAGAGAAAGCCCCTGGCGTGGGCGAGAGTGGCTCCTGCGAGCTGAAAAAAAAAGGGAAAAAACAAATATGTCCATAAAGACAGGTGGGTGGCCAAGTTCTCCCGGGCAACCCGCCGCCGTCGCAGCACCCCGTGCCTGTGCTCCCCTGGGGTGACCCAGCAGCCTCACAGCCCCCCCCCCACCTTGCTTTGCAGCCTGCTGCCACGGCAGCTCCAGCAGCAGAAGCGGCGAGCGGCGCGGCGCAAAAGGGCCAAGTTCCTGCTGGAGGATGCCATTCCCAGCGTGAGTCCTTCGCCCCGTCCTCTGCGCCACCGTCCCGGGATTTGGCAGCCGAGTGGGACCCCCGTGGGGTGGCTCCGCTCCTGCGGGCAGGGAGAGCCCCTGACCCTCACCCTGGGCTTTGCAAACGTTCGGTGCCAAATCTGCTTCTGCGGGGCCGTGGGAAGGAGCGCGGTGGTGCTCGGGCAGGGGGGTGACGGTGCCGGGGCCGGGGGCAGCACCGCTCGGGTTGGCAGTGACAAGTGAGCTTGGTTTTTGTGGTGCAGAGTGACTTCACCTCCGCCTGGAGCACCAACCACCACCTGGCCAGCATCTTTGACTTCACACTGGATGAAATTCAGAGCCTGAAAAGGTCCGTGTGGCCCAGCCTGGGGGGTGGGGGGTGGCAAGGGGAGGGGGTGGGTGAGGGGGGTGGGGGGCCGGTGCTTGTTGTGCCAAGCTGGGGTCGACGCTGCATCCCATCCCATCCCCAGTGCCAGCTCGGGACAGACTTTCCTGTCAGACGTGGACTCCACGGATGCCGCCAGCACCTCGGGCTCGGCCACCACAAGCCTCTCCTACGAGTCCAGGTGAGGGCCGTGCCCCCCTCGCCCCCTTCCAGAGGGGTCCCGGCAGCACGGCCAGGAGGGCGAGGGGCTTCCCCTTCACACCCCCCTCGCCCCCAGCACAGGGATGCCCTGCATCCAGGAGCCTTTCCTCCCTGCCTCCCCAAACGGGCTGGGGGTCCCGCAGCGGCGCTGCCTCGCGCAGGGTGGGAGCCCTCGCTCCTTGCTGGGCTCGCCCGAATTCCCGGCGTGCTCCCGCCAGGCTTGTGGGGTAGAGGAGGTGGTGGTGGTGGTGGTGGTGGTGGTGGGGAGGGGGGCACTTTTTGGGTGCTGCCCTCAACCCCCCTCCTCTGTCCCTTCCCACGCAGCCGGAGGACGGTGGGCAGCCGCAAGCGCAAGCTGGCAGCTCCAGCCTACGCCTCGGCGGGGGCGAAGAGGAGAGGGGGGGAGGTGGGCGGGCGCCCGGCCGGGGGCACCCCCGAGGGCAGCGAGGCAGCCTGCGGCCCCGACCGCCCGGATGACGGCATCGACAGCCACACCTTCGAGAGCATCAGCGAGGACGACTCTTCGCTCTCCCACCTCAAGTCCTCCATCAGCAGCTACTTCGGGGCGGCGGGGAGGCTGGTCTGCGGCGAGAAGTACCAGGTGCTGGCGCGGCGGGTGACGCTGGAGGGGAAGGTGCAGTACCTGGTGGAGTGGGAAGGCACGACCCCATACTGAGCCCTGCCAGCCCTTCGACCTCTCCCGGAGCCAAACCAGAGATCGGGATGATGGGGAAACCCTCGCCGTGAAGCAGAGGAAGGGCGTTAGCCTGCGGGGAGGGCTGGGACCCCTCGATATTGGGGGTCCCGGCCAGGGCCGGCTCCCCTGGAACCACCACGGGTGGAGGCAGCGCTCAAGCCGTCGCCGTCAGCGATGCTGCCCAGGGGTGAAACCCGCAGCCTTGCCGCTGTGGTGGTTGTTTGTTTTTGTTTTGTTTTTTTTTTTTTTTTAATTTTAACTGTTGTGATTTTATTGGCCGTGTATATGCAAAGAGCGCGGCCCAGCTGCGCTTTCCTGATGGAGCCTTTGGCCAAGCCCGAGGCACCGTCACGGGGGTGGTAAGAGCTGTGAGGGGGGTCTGGCCTTTCCAAAAGGATCCCCCCGGCACGGCTGGGCACCCCCTGGGGCAGCCCCTTTGGGGGGAACCCCGCAGTGTGCTCATGCAGACGGATGTCCTGCCGGTGCCTGGCACGCCCTGACTTATCCCCACGTCCAAGCCTTATGGAGCAGATTCGAGGGGGTCCTGCTGCTAAAGCAAAAAGGACCTCACTCGCCCGTGCTTTCACAGCCCGTCCCTGTGCCCACAGGAAACGTTGGGCGACTCTCACCAGAACCGGTGTATGGGCTTTTCCTGCTCCTCATAAATCCTTTCATTAAGGGAATGTGGTTTGTTTTAAATGAGGGCAAAATGCCCCATAAACAGCCCGCGTGTGGCCGGCTTTTGCAGCCACGGGGCAGACGTGTACGTGGTTGCTCTCGTCCCACAACCCGGACTGCGTGTGATGATGCACCAGCTTCACTTCCCCGTCCTTCTGACAATCACGGTCTTGGAAGAGATCGGCCTAAAGATACGCCCTTGCCTTAAAACCACCATGGGCATTTCACAGACTGGAGCCCGAGGCCTTTGTTCCCACAGGAATCTTTGTCCTGAACGTGCCAAACGAGCAGAGAAACCAAAAAGGCCGAAGAGGACAACGGGGGCATGGGAGGGGGTTGTACCAGGGGCCTCGCAGCCATCCCCGTGGCCTCGTGGCTGTGCCTGGCTGGGCAGCGGCCGCGCGTTCGGTTACCGGCGGAGCGTCGCTGCTTGTGAGCACGTGGGGTCGGTTTGTGTGCAGGAGAGAAGGAGCAGCCCCCTTCGTTAACTAAAGCAATACTGCCGTGTTGTTCGGGAGAAAAGCAGTTGTCTTTTTTAAAAAAAATTTCTAATATCATCAGACGTATTTGTTAGATTTTTTTTTTTTTTTTCTAAGAGAGATATATATATTTTTAACGTTGTCCTCCTCATCTCTCCCCCATCGTCGCGGTGGCTGTCCCATGGGGACAGAGGGTGGGCGATGCTGGGGGGGCTGCCCGGGCCTGCTGTCCGCACACCCTGTCCCTGTGGCCCCCGCACCCGTACGTGTGCTTGCGGGATCTGCCGACCCGAGGGTGAATTGAGAATGTTGTTGTATTGAAAAAATACTTAAGAAAATTCATCGGTGGAATTGGCATGGGGGAGCAGGTGACGTTTGCAAACTAGAGGCCAAAGTGTGGTCCTTAAAAATAAACTTCTGCTCCAGCTACTGCTAAAATAATGTGGTGGGATGCCCATGAAGGGGGGTTCGCTGGTTGTTTTAATTCATCTAGCGGGCCCCAGGCCTTTGTGTGGCTGAGGTGATGATGCCTCACGGGGCTGTGGTGCAGAGCAGCCAGGAGCTGCTTCCGTGCCCCTGTAGGAGCCTGAATATTTGGCTCAGCGCAGGCACGGTGGAGAAGCTGTTGGCCACTTGTGTGGTGCAAGGGCTGGGAGAGGAGGCTCCATGCAGCTCCAACCATGAGATGGTTTGAGCCAAGTGGGGTCGGATGTGCCTTGGGGAGGGGTGCTTGGCACCCGCGGGGGCTGCAGCCGGGCTCATTCGGAGGGGAGCATTGCCGGAGGGGCCCCATCCGGGACCCCCCCATCCCTGGTAGGGAGGGGTGCAGCTCCTGCAGCCAGCCAGCTCACTCCCCGTCCTGCCTTGGCTTTGTCACCAAAGGATCTCTTCAAGTATTTCCCTTTCACGAGTGCCTACGAAGCCCTTGTTACTGTCCGAGTTGCTGCCTGGGGGGCCGGGGGCTGCCAAGCCGGTTATTCCTGCGGATGTGCCGATGGACATTGCACTTGCGGGAGCATCCGCAACGCGTGGCCCTGTCCCCTCTCCTCTCCTCCTGGCCTTTTGCAGAGAATTGAATGTGGAGCCTTTAAAAATATTTTTGTTGCAGAGTATATTTTGCATTAGCTGTCATAGATACTATAATGACTCTGTGCACCTTCTAAAGATTTATGAGTTCAGGTTGCTGCTTGTAATAACCAACTCTTGTTATACCCAAGTTGTAATTAATATGTCTGATGTACAATTAAAAAGTCTTTTTTTTTTTTTTTTTTTAACTTCACTCGTTCTTTGTAGTGTCAGGGTTATTGAGTTTGGGCACTGGGGGTCAGTGTGTGCTCCTGGGCAGGTGCCCAGCGCCCACCATGATGCCACTGGTGCTGCTGGGTCGTGCTCCGTGCGGGGCTGAGTTGTGCCCTCAGCTGGAGAGATGCTGCTGGGAAGCACAAGAACGGCAGAAGGATGCAAAGGGGCAAGTGTGGGTGCAGCCCAGCAAGGTGCGGGGACAGCAGGGGACGGGGACACCCCTTGCACTGATGGGTTTTGTAGAGAGGGGCTGCCCTCACTCACAGTCCTGTTGACTGGTGAGCTCCCAAGCAGCCCCCATCCACATAATCTTAGGCTAAAACTTGCACGTTGCACAACGTAGCCCTGACAGGGTTAAACAAAGCTTAGCTTTGGGTGCACTGCAGATCTGCCCGGGGGGTGCTGGTGCTCGCTTCGTGTGCTTTGTTCCTTTTTGCCAGGCAAGGTGCCCCGCTGCTACCCTGTTTTCTTTGGATTTAGCACTGAAAAGTTCCCCGCTCTCAGAGCTCAGACCTTTTTCCCTCTTTTCCCTGCGCTGCGAGCCTTCCCTGCACCACCTCTGACAGCTGATGATGCCACACGAGCCCGTGGGCACAGCTCTCCATGCCAGCAAAACACCCTGGACCCGCTTCCCCGTGAGCCCGAGAGGAGCTGCTGGGAGCCAGCGGAGCATCGCTCAGCATCGGGCCGGAGAGAATCGCTGCAAACCCAGGACGGGCCCTTCCTCCCGCCCAGCTCAGAGCGGGCACCGCGCCCGCAAACTGCCACAACACGCCAGCCGGCCCGGGTAAGAAACACTCCCGTTTATTCCCTTCCCAGTCACATAAATAACTCGGTATCGTTCTATAAGTTATATCCCATTAAACTATTAACACGAGCATCTTTTTTACAAGGTTAAACTTGGCCCAGGTAGGAAGCCACCGTTCAGGTGTGGGTAGGGGATGCAGGGCCGGGACGATGCCCCGCAGCTGGATCGTGCCCTGGTCCTGCTGGCATTTGGTTTCCCTGAACTGGCCGTGGATGTCGCCCAGCTCTCCTCAGCGGGGTCAGAGCTTGCCACTCCTGGTAAATGCTTTCAGCTTCTGCTCGAGTTTGCCGTTTCCTTGGATTTTTGTAAGACCCGAACCAGCGCGTTGCACGACAGCAGGGGAGGGTGTGAGCCGGCGCATCGCGGGGTGCCCGGCCACATCCTGCTGCCTCCGGGCTGGGGAAGCAGGAGGCAGAGCGGGGCAGGATGCTGCTGCAGGGGAGCAGGGGGGCTCGGCAGGGTTTCAGGCGGTGGCCGAGGGGACGCACGGCACTGGGGGGGCTGCCGGGATGTGGCTGCCAGCTGGTATTTGATGGTGGCAGGCTGAGTCAGCTCCCAAATGCTGCAGTGTCCTGACATGAGAATCTCTGTGGATCCCCATCCACAATGCTGCAACAGCCCTCGGCACTGTGACCCTCCTCCAGCCTCCAGCACCTCTGGGCTGCTCGGTGCTCCCTGGGGCACCGGGACAGGCCAAGGAAGGGATGTTTTGGGTGCAAAGAAAATTCCCAATCCCAAGCTGCTGTGTTATAGCAAACACGTGAAGCTCTAAACTGCCTCCCCACGCGTGTGTAACTCCTGCCTGCACAGGGGGACCAGTGTGGCTCAGCGCGTTTCACCGGGTCACCCCAAAAGCGAGATGCTTTTTGCACTTTTCAGTTAGTCCCGTGGGACACTTTCCTCTATCCATTTGAGGTAGAGAGGGTTTCCTTGGTCAATAGGCAGGCTGATGATTTCGGGAATTTCAAAGGGGTGGATGGATCTAAAGTGGAAACAGATGCAGAGGAGCAGTGTCACCGCCGGCCCCAGGGCAGGACAGCCCCAGTCCCGCTCACAGGCACAGGAAGCAGAGGGCTGGGCTCCCAGCCGTGCGCGCCAGCCCTGCCCCACGCGCTCCACTGACTTCAAAGCATCCGCATCTTCTTTTTGCCATGTGAGAATTTTGCTTTGAGTTTGGGGTTTACCACAGCCAGCAGCTGACGGCCAGGAGCCCTGGCCCAAAGCTGGCTGCACTCACCACTCAGTGCTTGGGAGAGGCAGGAAATCCTGCCAGGAGGCAGCCAGGGAATAACCTCTATTAGGAGACCGAGAATCCCTTCTTGCACCCAGTATGGAGGGGCTGGTTGAAGCCCAACAGTTTGATATTCCTGCCAACCTGTTTTTTTTTTTTTTTCTTGCTGATGCAGTGTCTGGGTTTTTCTGTCTCACAAGGTAGATTAGGAGCACTTAAACCCACCCTGGGTGGGAAGGGGCTCAAGGAACTGGGCTCCCAAAGCCTGAGCAGGAGATGGCAGCCTACCTTGGATTGGAAACTCCCACAGAGCCAGAGCCTCACCTGACGTAGTTGGACAGTTCTTCTATTTTGGATGTCCTTGTTTTCACTAACTGTGGAGAGTTAAAAAGCACAACAAAACAAAAACCAAGGGAGAAATAAAGGGGATGGAGCAATCCCGCACACACAGACCCACTGCACCCATCCAGCGTGGCCAGCAGCCAGCGGTGTGACAGGAGCCCTTCCTGGGCTCTTCCCAGGGGGGTGTCCCCTCTGGGGGCAACACAAGGGGCTAAGCCAGGCTGCCACCCCCAGCCACCCCCGCCGTGCCTGCAGGCAGGTGCTCAGGGTCCCCAGGTCCTGGCCCAAATCTCAGACAGGGTGGTGCCACCCTCCCCAAGCCACCCTGCAGCCCCTTTCCCCTAGGACGGGGATTTTTGTGACGTGGGGAATTTGTCACCTACCAGCAGTATTTCAGTGGATTCTTCCAGTTCCCCTTTCCAAAAATACCTAGATTTAAAAGAAAAGAAGCATCAGCAAATTCAGCTCTGGCTGCAGCCGTGCTGGTCCCTTTTTGGGGGCGGGGGGGTAGTTTCCCTGCTCGGTGCTTTCTGCACGCGGCCGTTGCTTTAAAGTGGTGCTCAGGAAGCATCGCTGGCCCCAGAATTCTGCTGTGCACATGAGTGAGCACCCCAATTTACAGACCAGGGCCTCCTTGGCTGTGCCAGCCTCGAGAGAGCTGCCCGGGGGGGAACAGCAGGGCAAAGGAACAGGGACTGGAGCAACCACGGGGGGCTGTGTGGTGGTGGACGGTGCCCGCAGGGACGGCGGCGTGGCTGCAGCTGGGAGGCTGAGCGCGGCAGCATCACGCTTTTTTCCTCTCTTTCCCTGCAGGAGAGGAGATGCACTTCTCGTGAGTCAGATATGACCTTTCAAAACATTTATGTTGACAGAAGGCCATCGTGATTTCATCTGCGCGCCGGGTTCCTGCGCGAGGAGGCATTTGGAGGCGTCGCGGTGTCTCCTGACAGCAGGCAGGGCTCCGCGTGAGCGACTCGGCTCCGGCTGTTGTGGCTCGTAGGGAGCAAAGAATAAGGGGAAGAAGGATAATTCTGGGTTTGCCCTATTTCAGCAGGACTATAGGAGAGCCTCGGGGGGGGGTGTGGGTGTGTGTGCAGTGTGAGGAACCCCTCCTGGGGGGAGGCTGCGATGTGGGGACCCGCTCCCCTCTTCTAGCAGGGCTAAGCCGGGGTGCTCCTACGAGCAAATGGCTGTTTCGGGGCTTTTTTCTTTAACCCCTCTAACAAGTGCAATCCTTTTGTGTGGATGGCTGAGGATGCCTGCGGAGCATGGCTGGTCGTGTTTCAAGGTCAAAGATACTGTTCTTCCTTCCTGAAAGTGCTGCTTAATATTGGAAAGGTCTTTTTTGCTCCCTAGTGTAGCTTCTTTTTAGGTACTCTAAAAACAGGCGCTGTGTCCTCAGGACCATAAATCACCTTGCTCTCTGCTAGATCTCTGTGCAGCCAACTAACCAATAAATAAATGGTCCCCCCCCCGGCAGCTGGAGCGTTTGCACTCCTTAATAAGCTTAGTGCACTTTGCACGGGTGAGGATCATCTCTACCATCTGCAACAACAAACAGACCCAGCAGCCTTCTGGAAACTGCCTCCTCTCCCTGGGGCTGCGGGGTCTCCATCTCCTCCTCCCCGCCCTGGGGAGCCCAGGTTTGCCTCCTGCGCTGGGGAAAATTCAGCCCGACTTACAAGGCTGAGCTCTTCGGCAGGATGTTCACGTAGGCAGCCAGCTTCTTATCCATGATGGCCCTGGGTGAGACAGGAGGGGGAGTTAGTGCCTGCCCCCAGCTCGCTGCAGCTCAGCGCTCGCCCGGGGACCTTCCCTCGCGCTGCCCCTGACTGCCAGCAGCAGCTTTGACATTGGAGACGTGGGATTGGGGGTTAATTATTACCCTGAGAAAGCAGAGGCAAAGGTGACCTCCAGCTGGAGCTGCTTCAGCTCAGTTAGTCCCAGCACGGCTCTGGGACCCTCCCTACCGTGCAGGACTGTTGGATGTTGCTCCTGATCCTGGAGCAGCACACGGGACCTGTGCCTCACACGGTGCAAGGGCCCTGCCCAGCATTAGCCCTGTCCCCATCTCCCCATGGGGACATCGGGGCCGGGGCTGAGCTGCGAGGCATCAAGAACCGGGGCTGGGACGGACACGAAGGGGTTTGTCTCCCAGGCATGTATTTATACTGTCAAACTGTGCCTCTTCCTTGCACAGCAAACTAAACGTGGATCTTGTTAAATTAACATCAAGGTTTTTCTACCCAAATCGTCCTAGATATCTGAAGCCCAAGTAAATTCCTTCCCTCTGGCTGCCTCTTTTAGTTGTGGGCTGATCTGTTATTGCAGAGCTGCTCGGGTCTGCCAGCAGAAGTGATATTTAAGTGATTAAAGAGTACTGAAGCAATCTCAGGGTGGATTTTTAGAAGGACTAGGTCAAATGTTGTGTTTTCTGACCACAGCAATGTCTGGGCCCTTCTCACCTAGGTGGTAGTCCTGTCCCCCTTGCAGGCAGCTCTGTTAAAAGCGCTGCACTAATGACTGCACCTTCGGTTTTCTTTAACGCTGGCCTCAAGGGGCACTACTTTGTACCAAGTGCTTTGATGATGCAAACATGTCACTTCTAGATGACCTTGAACTGCAGCGAAGACAGGAGTTACTGGGGGTTGGAAGGCTGGATTCAACAACCTGCAAACATTAACTCTTAGTGAGCTAAAGAATTAAAACCATTCCAATTAACTACCGCTCCAATTCAAAATGCTCTCCAGGATGCTTTTGGCTTAGAGCAAGTTAAAAATTTATTATCCTTACATCCAGGGTATGATACAGCCTGGAGGTGACTACAAAACAAACTATAGGAAACTCCCCCAGGGCCGTGACCTGAAGATAGCCCGGCCAAGGTGCTAATGTGCAGCTGCATTGTGCCTTGCAGCCTGGCCTCTGCCCCACAAGGAGACCTGGGCTCTTGTTTGGATGTGCATAAGCTCCTTTGCACGTCTTCAGTATCATCTCTGCTTTCTCGGTCTGTTTGCAGAGGTTTGTACCTTGCAACTATGAGCACGAGGCAAAGGCTGCGCGGGCTCTGCTGCAGGACAGGGAGGAACCGGGAGCAACCCAGGTGTTGAGAGGAGAGCAGCCCTCCCCGACGATTCTACATCTTGCCACTCCAGCAGTGCACCAGAGAACCAGTGCCTGGACCCAGCGAACACGTGGGATCGGGTTTAATGCTGAAGCACAGTAAGGTGAGGGAGATGGACGTCTCTCTGCCGATGGCTCAGAGGGACCATGGTCTGCGAGGACATATGAGGAGGCTCCGGGTTGTTTGTTCTCACCATGTGCAGCCAGTTCTAGGCATTTAATGCTTGTAGAGCATCTTGAGTTAATCTGTAGACCAACAAACTGCAGCAGCATGAGCGGAGATATCCCCGCTGTGTTTGTCATGTCAAACACATGGCACAAATCATTTTGTTTTTGCTGCCTGCAACTTCCAAGTCACTTTAGCGCAGGAACCTTTTGATTTGGGTGAGTACCTTCTAATTGATTCTGCTCTGTCCCAATAAACTGTGATCCTAACTGAGATCCTGAACTTTGTTCTAGCAAGCTGAGCGGAAACAAGCGGCCACCATGGGAACGGGAAACATTATAAGAAGCTGAATGTGATCTGTGGAAAATGTTTGCATAATACATGATATCTTGGGGTTGGGTACTTAATGTGTGTTTCTTTGTCCCTGCCTCACAATAAACTCTGAATTGAGGCAGATGAAATATTAATAAGCAGAAAAGCAAGGAAAATTATATGCACAAGCCTAAGGCAGAACCAGAGGCTGACAGGCTGCTCAGGTGTTAGGTAAGTTATGTGGGGTGCTGTAGTCACACCATCCAGCCCAAAGAGGTCAGCTTCTCACGGTAGGCACAGGGGAGAGGGTACACCTCCTGCGTAGACTCAGGGGTTTCTTCTGAGGACATTAAGTTAATAGTAATCCAGATAAACTGAGTTAGAACTGATGCAGCAAACAAGCCAAATGCTGAATTCTACCTGCAGCTAATCTGCTTTCACAAAGCTTGAACTCCTTTTCCTTAAAACCAGCGGAAAATTTCCTTGCAGACCGATCCATCAGAGTGAGTGCTCCACTGAGCAATGTAAAGGAAGAATAAACATGACAGCACAGGAAAAAGGTGTGTGGGAAAATGAGTGTAGAAGCCCTGTGTCATCCTCTACAACCACAGCTCATTCATCCAAATTCCAGAAGAAAGGAATAATTACTCCACCAGTAAAACCACAACCAAAGTACATATATCTTAGCAATGGGGAGTGATTTATTTCCTCTCCTTTCCCTGCAAGATAAGGAACAAAGAGTCGAAAACATTTGCAAAGCTGTTAATATGAAAAATTTTCAGGAACTGAGGCTCTTTTCACCAGCCATGTACAGTTACTCCTTTTTTCAGAAGACATCAAGCAGTGCAGATATTATTCCATTTGAATTTCTTAATACAGTTGCAGTATTTAAGGTGACACAAAATCCCTTTCAGTAGCCTGCCAGTTCCTGAACGACTGTTTGGGAACACTTTACAGAATTCGGAGAGTTTTTGGCAAGCAGCAGGGTAGCAGGGAAAACAGTGCAGGAGGTGTTGCAGGAAACTTAATGGTCCATCATAAACATTTCCCCAGTCAACATGGTTTCAGTACTTTGAACAAACCATCTATTGAGTCAGGGACTGACAGATGTGTGAAAAAAACCTCTGCATGCAAAATATCATGCAAAGTATCTCATACATTAAAAGAGAAAAAAAAAAAAAAAAAAATCAAGGTGAATCCCTCATTCCCTGAAGTTTGTCTGGTGAGCAGAGTGCGGGATTCCAGGTGGTACCTCACAAGTGCCTGTTCTATGTTTGCTGTGGACCAATATTGTCTTTTATTTATTTTCATGGCAGCGTACTGTGCTTTGTCCCTCTCCATAAACACCTCTCCTGGAATTTGTGATCTGTGCTGTTCTAGAGAAGAAAGACTGTGGCAGATCAGAGAACACGGGTCTGGGGTTTAATCCATCTGAGGACCATTTAGGGCCATGGCTTTAAAATGGGTCTTGCAAATGAAAGGCAATGGAATAAATGGAGAATTGGCCTGATGTTACCGTGGCATTGACTTCAGAGGCAAATGTCAGCTTTCCTTTAGAAAGCACAGCTCTTGGGAAGTGGATATGTGATACAGAGAGAGAGAAAAAGAGTGCAGGAGAAAAGGACCACCGTTCAGGTGGAAGTGCCAAGTACAGAGAAGTATAGATCCTCTCGAGGGACAAGGAAATGCTTTATTCCACAAGAAGCCGCTTTCAAACAGTTCAAGCAGACAAGCAGGGGAAGCGTCTCTGTACCTTGCAAGATCCTTGGCAATCTGCTCATTGAGACAGTTGATGAAGGCAATGGAGTGGGTCCCAGAGATGTAGCTGCCAGTGACAGCAGAGTGCAGCTGAAGAGCGAGACTCCTCAGCACTGGGTACATCAGCAAAGACAGAATCACCACCTAAAATGGAAAACATACGAGTGATGATGTTAGGTGAAGTATTGAGTTTTGTAAAACTAAGCATTTACATTATCTGTGGCTGAAGAGATGTCTTCAGTCTTCTATCAACTCTACAGTAATGGTAGTTGTAATTTAAGTGAAAACATGCTCTTAGGGAGATTCATTCCACTCCAATCGAGTACCGTGCCAAGTGCTTGGAGCAGGAAAGGGTCAGTTTTTGAGGCTGTACCAGCCCAGAGGCGCCCAGACCTCTGCTGCTAGAAGTCACACTCTAGATTAATGGGGGGTTACAGACCCCACCACACAGCCTCAGCAGCCAGGACTGCTTTTCGGAAGAAGAATAAGGAGGTAAGTCACTGCTTGTCTCTGTTAAAATACACTTCTATTGCCAAAAGGAGCAAGAAGGAACCACCAGACGTGGCTCCCACACCAAGCACACCTTTCCTGCTGAGGACACATCCTGCAGCCGTCCTTCTGCTGTGTGCCCAGGGTGAGGCATGTCCACCCCTCTGGGAAATGGGGGGGACGGGACCCTCTGCCTCCCTGCGGGTGGGGAGCGGAGGACAGCAGTATGTCAGGCGGGGGTAGGGACCTGGCCGTGGGAAACAGACTGGGGCTGGAGCCCGGCGTGGGAGCAGAGACCTGGGAAACCTGGAATAATACAGCCTGTGCTGGGACCCGGAGAGCTCTCGCCCTGCCCTGTCAGCCCGCGACGATTACTGTCCTGCTGACAGCTGTTGTGCTGCCCACCCCGGCTATGACAGAGACTCGCAGAGCAGGCAGTGGAGGGTAAGATTTAAATGCAAGTTTTAAATTCACTTCATCTTAATTATCCGATAGTGACAGAGGACAGTGAAATTAGATCCCTTCGGGCACAGAAATCCTAATGGAGACAGCCCAGGTCTGTAGGGCTGTCTCTGTCCTCCTGGGCTGCAGAAAACAGTAACACGCTCTCCGTGGACTGGCAGTGCAGTGGCAACAAGTTGGTTTTGCTGTACGTTAGTCGCTGTTCCTGGCAAGCCCCTTAGCTGCTCTTTGTACCCACATGCCACAAACACAGTCACATAAAAATATATAATTATCTCAGTGGGGACGTTGCTGGAATAGCAAGGTTAATTTGGTGTGCTGAGTAATAGCTAAAGGATGGTGCCCGCACCCAGGGCTGCAGCACTCGCCGTCTCTGCACAGCTGCTCTTCTCTTTGTCTTTTGTCTTGTTTTAGAAATAAACAGCATCTGGTCCTTATTCAACTACAGTGATAAAAAAATGCTCATAAGACTAAGAATATATTCTTTTTTCCCCCTTGTTTCCACCCTCCTTTGTCCTCTGAAAAACCTCCCATTATAGGGCCAGTGTCAGAGTGTTTGTTTTTTTTTTTTTTTCTTAAAGATTGAATTAAAAAAATCTCTCGTCACCACAAAGACAGAAGCTCCTTTCCGCTTGGAAAATTACTGATGTGCGATATCGGTTGTCTCCTCTTTTCCAATCCACTTGAGGAAATATTCTTTGTTATCACAGGGTTTTACATCATAAATTCTAGAGCTTCTCTTGTGCTCTTTTTTCCACTAAGCTGTTTAGCAAATATTATGCAACAAATCCCAGAAGCTACTCAGATAGTTACAAGCCAGAGATATGCTGGTGTATCTATTTTTTCAGATTAGAATGCAATCGTGCTCCCTGCTCAGGAAAGAAAAAATCTGACCTGTTCAGCATGGCGAACATTAATCTTCTTGGAAGATATATGTGCATGTGATGAGGAAATCCCCACAAACATTTGTGACTGAATATTAGTATAAGAGTGACCACTCTCTTGGTTTTTTTGGGTGTTTTCCCCCCCCCTTTTTTTTTCAGAAAAGAAAGATAAAAGCCCCCTTTTTTCCACAATAATTGTATTTGTCAAAGGATGCTGCAAAAGTGAAGGAATGAATCTTCAGGATTCCTACCTGATAAACCAAATAAACTCACGACTGCCAAAATGTTGAAGTGATCAAAACTGAAAAACCTGATGTGAGATTATAAGCATTTCACTGAAAAGCCCTGACCAGCAAAATGACAGTTGAGTTTAGAGAAACTAAGATTTCTGCAAGATTTGCTTTGGCTTTGGTAAACTAAAAAAATCTTTAGCGTTTAAAATTACCATCTTAGGAGTTTTTGCCTAGTTTTGACGAAGTTTTGTACAAAAAAAAAATAAACAAACTCAAACACAACTTGTGGCAATCTTGAGTATGCTGTGAGCTTCCTCAGCACAAGTGGAAAAAAACTCGTAAGAAATTTGCTTTGCCCTTTGCAGAGACTGAGATTACATTCCTCCTGCATGATCTTTTCTTTTTTTTTTTTTAGAGGTTCCCTTATAAAGATAGTGGCGTTTCCACGGTTGCTTGGGTTGGCATCCCCCGCGCTCCCCAGCGCGTCCCCCGCGTCCCCCCATCCCAAGCACGGAGCCAGCCCTGGCAATGCCGGCGGGTTCCCACTTACCAGCAGCAAGGTGCCGCGGCCCGGCCGGGGACAGCCCTGGGCAGTGGGCAGCACCGGGCAGCGCTGGCTCAGCCACTCCATCTCCCCGGCCGGGCGAGAGGCTGCGTCCCCTCCGTCCCTCCACCTGCTCTGCCCAGAGCTGGGAAGGCTGCCTGGGAAGGCTGCCCGCAATAAGCACTAACTCCTCCTCCTCCTCCTCTTCTTCCCAGGCTGCCTGCAGGCTGGTACCCGCCTGCCTGCCCCAGCGCCGGGCTGAGCCATGGGCCCGTGGGCCAGCACGGTATCCCCACGGCATGCCTGCCTCCCCACGGGCCCTCCCCTGCCCCCTGAGCCCCAGCACCCTGAGCCCCAGCACCCCGAGCCCCAGCACCCCGAGCTCTAGCACCCCGAGCCCCAGCACCCTGAGCCCCAGCACCCCGAGCTCTAGCACCCTGAGCCCCAGCACCCCGAGCCCCAGCACCCCGAGCTCCAGCACCCTGAGACCCAGCACCCCGTGCTCCAGCACCCCGAGCCCCAGCACCCTGAGCTCTAGCACCCCGAGCTCCAGCACCCCGAGCCCCAGCACCCCGCCTTTCTGCCCCACGCACAGCCAGCTGCCCAACCTGCAGAGCTGGGGTGGACAGATGCCGGAGCCCAGCACCTCCAGGAGTGGGGTCAAAGCCACCACAGGGGACAAAAATAACCCAGAAATATCAGTGCTGTTAACAAAACTGTCTGCACCAACATCTGCTGGAGAAATCTCTCCCCTCCAGTGTAAGCACTGGGGTCCTCCCAGTGCTGTCTCAGGTGCTCTGAGACACTTGCTGACGCCATTTGGCACTTTTAATTTTACAATCTATAAAACACTCATCTTCTCAGATTTAGTATTGTTGGGACTCGGTACTCTTTGGATAGAAACTACTAGGAACCTGCTAAGTCCTGTTGTGTTGTTTGGGCCTGAAATACTCCTGCAAGCAACCCAGCGCTGAGGAACAGAGAGCTCCATTCTGTCTCACGCTGTGACTTTACCACGCTACTGTCAGTTCTCATAAGCTGTCAGGAAAACATATTCACTGTCAGCCCGCCGAGTGCAGCACCTGTGGTGCAGCAGCCCGTGCCTGGATGTAGACGAGAGCTGATGGCTGCAGCTCCGCGCGCTGTCCCGGCGGGACAGGTGCTGGGACAGGCTGCAGACGCGCTGCCTGCTCGGAGGCCTCGAGGAGGTGTGAAATATCCCCTCCCTGTACAGTAACAACTGTGTATTTGCAACACTCAATTGCCTCCCCTGTTGTCTATGAGCTGAAAAAATGTTTTCCTCTGCTGGTGTGAAGCAAACCCCGTGTTTTCTTGCGGCGCGTCCCACAGCGGAGCGGGCACGCAGTCCCCATCGCCATGAGGGGGTCCTGGCACTGCAGCCCCCTCCCAGACAGCTGGACCCGCCCCGGGGTGCAGCTCTGCCGCCTCGGCACCTCTGGCCTGAACATCCCCGTCGCCATTTCACCTCTGTGACCCCGCTCTACCCCTCCAGGCCCGCCGCGCGTTTGGCCCTGGGGGGGCCTGTTCTCCACAGCCCAGGGAGCGCTACTGCCTGCGACCGCTGCCCAGGCTCCTCTGGGCGCCCATCAGGACGGTGCCTGACTCTCCCGCCCGGGGCAGTTTTCATTCCCGCCTCCACACAAAACCCAATTTTCCCCGTCTCCCCCCGCCGACCCCCCGCCGCGCCCCCAACCTCCCCTCAGCCGAGGCCACGCCCCGCGCTGGCCACACCCCGCTCTGGGACCGCCCCCCCGAGCGCTCATCCAATCACACCGCGGGGTGGGCGGAGCCAAGAGAAGGAGCGAGAGGGAGGCGGGGAGGCGGAGGGAGCGCGTCCGCCATTTTGTTCACGACGCGGCGGTTGCTAGGGGCGGCGGTTGCTAGGGGCGGCGGTTGCTAGGGGCGGCGGGCTCTCGCGAGGTTTACCGGCGGCGCCAAGATGGCGGAGGCGGTGATGGAGCTGCTGGAGCGGGCGGTGCGGCGGGAGGCGCCGCTGGAGGAGTTGCGGGCCCTGCGGCTCGCCGTGCAGGCCGTGCCCCCCGCAGCCCTCCGCGCCCGCCTCAGCGACGATCACCTGGGAGCGCTCTTCGCCCTCCTCAGCGTCAATGACCGGTGAGCGGCGGCCTGGTTTCGTGGGCCTGACCCAGCCCTGCCGCCGCCTCCTCTCTCCTTTTCCTCCCGAGCGTGGTGGCTCCTGCTGTGCCCCGTCTCTTTCCCTGCCCTCCTTCAGGGCGGGGGCTGGCACGGCTGAGGGTCTGGGGGCACCCGGTGGCGTTCCCCTCCTGAAAAGCTTGGTTTTCTTTCTGTCCCGCCCAGGGAGCAAGTGTCTGCGTGTGTTTCCATCCTGGAGAGGCTCCTGCAGGCCCTGGACCCGCTCTATGTAATCCAGAACCTCAGAGAAGAGCTTCAGAAAGGGCTTTTTCACCCCGACGACTCCGTGAAAATCCTCACCATATCTCAGGTACAACATTTTCTTCCAGGAGGAGGGGGCAGAGCTCTTTCTTGGGCTAGGCTGGGTTAGTCCCAGTCTGTTACTGTAGTTTCATGTCCTGAATTGTGATAAAAGTGCTACATCAAGTGTTATCTGTAGGAATTGTGCTCTTACACACTGGTGCAATTTTGGATAAATGATAAATACAGTGCGATGTGTTGGTATATAATGCTTTATGATGTGTCTGTTAAACATAATGTATGAAACTGTGTCTTGATGGAAGTAACTTGAAGCCAGCACTTACAGCAGGTGGCATAATAATTATATGTAGCAACAGTTTGATATTCAGGATACTTTGAACAATATTGTGGAAACAGTGGAGAGGACTAGCCTGTAGTAACTGGACAGTTGTTCCATTTAATTTAAAAGAACAGAATCGTGGGACAATCTAGTTTGAAATGGACTTCTAGAGGTTTCAGGTCCAGCCCTCCTCTAAAAGTGGGGTCAGCTTTCAGCAAGCTGCTAAGGGTATTGACCAGTTGAGGTTTGAGCATCTCCAAAAATGGTGATTCTGTCTGGATAGCTGTTCCGGTGCTTGAATGTGATGGAAAAAGTTTGTTTTAATGCTATCTTGTATAATTATTTAATCATGCCTTTAGGTTGGGAGGATTGTTGAAAATTCAGATGCTGTCACAGAAATTCTCAACAGTCCTGAACTATTACGGCAAATAATAAATTGCATTGGTGGGGAGAAGATAGCAGTGGCTAAAGAGGTAAGCATTGCTTTATTTGTTTCTTGGATGTAGACACTGCACAAAACACCTTTTCTACTGTGTCTGAGATGACAGTCTCTACTCTTCTTTGAAGGAAAGGCAGCTTCTGTTACTGGAAAGATGTTAGAAGTATGTGGGTGCCCTAAGCCCAAAAGTTACTTAGATGTGATAGAAAATTTACCTACAGCTGTTACCTTCCAGTAGCTGTTGATGCCAAGGTGAACTCACAGATGTGAATTTAATGCCAGAGACTTGGATCACAGTCTCTGTGACAACCACAACTAGCTGTTGTCAACGATACAGTAATTCTTACTGAAAAATTAATCACAATTCAAATATTAGATGTATAATATGATTTAATATATTTGTAAAGAACAGTGAAACTAAGATCATCTTGGATTTTCTTCTCTGTGTTTTTCTTAAAAGTTGCTGGTTTTGTTTCCAGGCCATCAAGTCTCTCGCAAGAATAGCACAGACGCAAGATGGCTTAGAGGCTTTATTTGCGAGCAGTTTGTTGAGCGACTTGAAAAATGTCATGGCCACAAATGATGTTGTTCGATACAGAGTATATGAGGTAAGGACACATTTGAATGACTTGATAATGCAGTTCTCTTGGACTGTAGTTCTAAATTACAATCTGGATTTTATGGCTTGCTTTTAAAATAATATTCATCGCTGCTTTACAAATTCTTCTTCATGTCTACATTTTGTTTAGAGTAGGAAGAGTACAGCAGTGTTGGCTCTCAAATAATGTCATTACTTCTCTTTCTCAGTTTATGGTACAAAAGTGTGAAGTATTGTTTACATCTCTTATTTTCTAACTAGCGGTGCCTAGGGCATTGGAAGGGCAACACAGAGTTGCTAAAGATACAATAAAATGTTTGCTTTTCTGAAAGTAAAAGTAAAATAGCTACTGTAGTCTCTTAACCTTTGGATGTGAAATGCTGTTGAAACTTCTGGAGGGGGGAAGAGATTGAGAGAGAGAGATGCCAGGTGTGTCAGTCTAGATATATATGGCAAAGGAGAAATAATACAGTCTAGCCATTGTAGGGCTTGATGGGGATAGCAGTGATGGTCCTCTGAAGAAAAGATGACTGTGAATAGAAACCAAATCCTTGTGCTGTGAACTTGGAACTCCTTATGAACTTATTTCAGGCAAACGCTTAGGTTAATTGTGAAAACATAATGAAATTCTGTATTTAATTTATATAGGATTAGTTAGCATTATAAGACATATTTGGTCATCGCTGTGAATAGTTATCATAATGTTTTTATAAACCATCCTTTTTTTTTTTTTTTCCTGTGTTTTTATTTAGTTAATTGTTGAGATTTCTTCGGTGTCAGCAGATTCACTAAATTATTGTGCAAGCAGTGGATTAATATCAGAGTTAATTGGAGAGCTGACTGGAGATGATGTGCTGGTCAGGTATGTTGGTAGTGAATTTGCCAGTGAGATTTCCCCCATTGTTAAAACTCTGATGTTCAGTCTTAAAATAACACTCTAAACACATCTGCGTGTGTTTCTCGCTAAACCCTTTTTGAAAAAACTCTTTATCTGCTGCCTCTTAAGCAGCTTTGAGTGTAAAACACTGTATACTTCAATTTGAGAACCAAGATGAGGTTTCCCCATTATGCCGTGGTAAGTGCAATGCTGGGCTGCAACATAAACACTGTAGAATTCTTTCCAACAATATATCTAAACTAAGATAGCTGAGTAAAGTTGGAGGAGTGTTGGACAGCTGGGGTAGTTTGGTTTTTGGTTTTTTTTTGTTTATTTGGATATTTTCTTAAGGGTAGAAAACCTGTTTTTTTCTTAATCACAGTGTATTTCAAAAGCCCATATGAAATAGGCCAAAATAACTGTTTATCTGTTACAGAGCTACATGTATAGAGATGGTGACCTCACTGGCCCATACGCCACATGGGCGTCAGTATCTTGCTCAACAAGGGATTATTGATAAA